TCCCTGCTGCACGGAATTACCGGATGGTGTTATACTTTCGGCCAGAGACAAGACGACTTGGTGGTTTCGAAGGAGGTACTGTGAGATAAGAAGCCGCCACGGCAGCTTAATTAGAGCAGTCAGCGTGCCTGGACGACCGAGCGACAAGCTTACTTTGGTTTACCGGACACATGTTGGACTTTTATTAGCAGTTGACAGAGGAACACTGGCAGACAATTCGGACACGATGGACTTTCAAAGGGATGAGAAACTCTTTTCCAAAAGTAGACGAGCAATCAAAACTTTCTCTCGGAGTTTACAGCCGGTGACGGCTAAAGAGAAGAAGGGGGAAAAGGGGGGTTGGGAAGAAGACTTGATGATACTATACAAATATATATGGATATTTTTTCAGGTTTGACCGATGTGACCCCAGCACGGCGCAACGCCATGATGAAAGCAATTAGGATTCTTGACGAACAACGAATCAAGGCTGTGAGTGTGTGGAAGATTGACAGGTAGGTGACAGTAAGCAACGCCTATTATTCGTAGGCGTCGAAACATAGTGGCTCAGACACGCCTATTTCTTTTTTTGTTTTGAGAAATAGGGGTGGGGGAGGGGAAGCAGCAGGGGGTTGGATGGTCTTCTAAACAATATGTATCTGTTCTCTTTTCAAGTATGTGTGTGTACATTTCATACTGGTTCAGACAGTTTTTGAAATGTTTTTGCCATTTTATAATAATAATAAAAGGCTCTCCTTTAAATAACGGTCCTAAATGATCTAATCAGAAAGTTTACCCTAACAGAGCCTCATTACGTCCTGCCCTACAAACATTTAAAAGGTGTAGCTCGGAGAAAATAAGTAACGACAAGTGTAAGGAAAAGGGCAAAGTGTACTACTTACTGAAAATTAAATCTTTTATATGTGAAAATTGTGGCACAGAAGTTGCAATTAGTGCGCGATTGTCTCACTGTCCGGCACTGCAACTCAGCAGGGCTTATGCGCGATTCTCGTTCCGGGCGAGACATGATCAGCTGTAATGTGCGGTTTAATGTACGCGCATGTCGCCTCGGGACAACTTCAAACCGGCAGCCGCCACGATGGCGTTGGTACTTCTGACAGAAGAAGTAGCTCCTGTAAATTGTTGACTTTTTCTCCGGCGACTATAGTGCCACTTCCGAGAGTATCCCCCGAGGACCCACGAGCAAATACATTAGAGGAAGCTGCGGTAGCTGCTGCTTGTGAGTCCTAGCCATCTATTTTAGCCCCTTCCGCGACGCGCGTAGCGGCGCGGGGGATACACTCGGAGGTGGAACTATAGTCAGCGAATGGCGGTCCGCAACTTAATATAACGCTGGCCCTGCCGTAGGATAGCGCTATCGGCAGTATTCTCGCGTGTCGCTAATTTTCTTCGTCCGTAGTTAATCCTAGTTTTGCCGCCGTGTAATCGCCGTAAAAAAATCCGCTGTGTTTCGCGAAAATGTCGTGCGCAATTAATCATACTTTTGACATGGTTGAATCGCCGCAAAAGAAATACGAATTTTAGATATGATTGAGGCTCTGATAGGGATAACTTTGTGCGTAGATCATTTGGGACCGTTATTTAAGGGAGAGCCAATAATAATAATAATGATAGCAATAATGATATTATTATTGGGCACTTAATAAAGGCTTAGATACCCCACAAAAGCGACTCCTTCATGCATTGATGCTTGTCAAGAATGCCTGGGATGCTTTAAAGCCGATGGTGATGGTTTCCCACCAAGAATTGTTACTGGAGATCAAACATGGCTTCACTACAAGTAGCCAGAAACAAAGACAGCGAGCAAGGAATGGTAGCCATAAACGAAGACAGCAAACAAAGAATTGTGACCTCCCACCGCATCAAAACCAAACAACGTTTTCCACGGAGCCAGCTTCAGAGAAGGTTACGCTCTCTTTTGGTTTTGGGTTGGAAGAGGCGTTAGTTTTAAGTACTACATGTCAAAAGGGTCACCATTGTGACGTATACAGATCTTATCAGTAATCATCTTCGATGCATATTGAAATCCAAACGACGTGGACTTTTGAGTAAAGCTGTCATTATGACAATTTTCGACCTCAGACTGCTTATGCGGTGGTTGAAACCTCCACTTTCAGTGTGTACCAAATCCCCATACTCGACAGATCGAATCCCAAGTTATTTCCAACCTGTTTTGGCAACTCAAAGAATCATTAGGAAGACAAACTGTTGGGTCCCATGAAGACGTACAGCAGGTGGTTCATGAGTGGCTGGTTATACACGCAACCAAGATCATGTTATTCTACAGGGATCCGTGAATCGTATCGTTGCTAGAGGACTGGCACTGAACGAATACAATTTAAAAAAATAATACTCTGTTCTGTACGTTTTCAGAATATATGTACCAATTATTTAAAGCGTCCTAGTGGATAGCATTTTATTCATTAGATCCTATACATATATATATGTATATAACTGGAATTGCGTTACAATAGAATTGCGTTACAATAGAATGGCGTTACTATAGTATTGTGTTGCAACAGAATTGCGTTATAACTGAACTGCGTTACAATAAAACTGCCTTACATTAGAATTGCGTTACATTAGAATACATTCAATTAATCTTTTAGCTTTGTATTACTGACATGGCCGAAAGTCTCTTTCACTCAGCAGCAATGAAGCGCTCAACAATTTTACATCTCAGACTAAATTGTACCAAATCAGCCGGTCTGAATAGTGCCTGTTGCTTACGATATCAATAACAGCGAGTCTGTAACGTCGAGGTATGATTGTACGTTGAGGGCGTTTCTGTCAAATTATTTGGGCCTTTCATTTCATTCAGTTAAAAATATTGTATTTGTAGATTTCTAGCCGACGCCGAATGGGAAATGGTTGATCGCATATGCGCCATTGAAGATCCATACATGAGTACAGAGGTAAGGTCCCTTCTTGTCTTTGTTTTTTTTTTCTCCTTTCATGTTAAAAAACTGTCATCTCTTTGTGAGATACAATTTTTCGGTATTTTGAAGCCCCACCCTGGCTCTTGCCAGGAGCCGCAAATAAATATGGTCTAATGGCTGAACGCGGTATCTGGGACCTCTCCACGGAGGATACTCATTCAGATAGTGGCACTTCGTGTCATCAGGTTTTTATCGCCTGTGTGATGTCCTAGTGAGGTTTGATTTACCACTACTACTACTCCTTTCTTGTTAAGTTGGTAATGTATATATCATCATCATAATCATCATCAGCTACTTCTCCTAGTGATGCTCGTGAGAAGGAATAATTTGCTATCCAGTTCACGCTGGCTGGCACTGGCTATTGGCATGCCGTGAAGGCGTAAAGTGTCTTTAATGTTGTCTATCACACTTTTTCGTGACCGACCTCTTGCTTTTCTAGCTGAACGTCTGAGATGTAGTGCCGGTGATGATATTTGATGCTGCCGCATTTCAGCGAGATGGCCAAACCACTTGGCTCTAGCGTGCTCAGCTTGCTTTGTGAGTCTGTTGCAATCCGGATACATATCATGTGCAACTAGTTCTCAAGTCAAAAGAAAACTGATATAGCCATACATGACAATAGGTGGCTCTATTTTACAGAAACAAACATAATGAAAAAGGAGCTTCGAAGAGACTGGAGGTGAACACAGAACTGTTAATAGAAAGAAAGAAAAAAGAGGCAGTTGAAAAATGAGTGTCCCTTTGGAAGACTTAAAACTGTTATACTAACTGTACTGTAGGGATTTGCAGATTTGATGGGTTACCCTTGGCAATATATTTGATGTTGGACCGTGATTAACTGAGTCAGTTCCGTCAGTTATACACAAGGTGCCTTGAGCATAAATAATAAAGTAATGATAAGTAATAAACACTATTACTCTCGAATGGTTGTCCTTGAAAACTCCAGGGACAATTGATAAGGTTAACATCAGTATGCCACCGAAAACATGCACATACACAAATACACAGACACACACACACCCATACACGCACACACACACAAAGGAAGAATAAAATAAACGTAAATACCAACTTAAAGCTTCACTACTGAATTCTCAGATAATGTAAAAACAAAAAACACACAAGCGGTGAGGGGTCAGCTTTAAACTTCGCTTTTTACAAACACAATCAAATTGGTGTGGGGGATCAGATTTAAATATTACTTTTGCGTTTACAAAGAAAGCATATACTTTTGTATTGACGAAAAAGTGGGAAAAGGGGCGGGGGGAGAGGGGGGGGGGGGAAGTGGCGCTTCAAATGTCACTTTTGAATACACAAACACTGCTAGGGTGGAACTAGACTTTAAATATGTATTTTTGATTTCGCATTTACTTCCTTACTTCCTATTTTTGCCGCTTGGGGTGTCAAGGGAGATATGAGGTCCTACTTCATACTGTTCTAACCCCCTCGAGCACAAATATATCATGCTGTTGTTGAGTTTCTCTGGTGTTATCTTTCCGTCGTGTCCTTGGTCTATCGTGAGCTCTATGTCCTTCTCCTCTTTAGATGTTTGCCTTGTATGGCTTGGCGTCGCAAGGCATTCTCTCTGAGTAGGCAAACCACTTGATCTTCTGTCTTTGTATGTAATTTAGAACTGCTTCTATGCCGATCTTTTCTCCTGTGACCTCAATTATGATTTTATCTCTTCTGATCACTCCTGAATCCCTTCTTTGACACTTGTTTCGTCTTTGGTTGCTAATTTTCTTTTATGGTTTGTTGTGAGTGACCATATCTGGCATTGATAGCATAGCGTTGGAATGCATTTGTTTTGTATCCGGTGTTTCTTACTGCTGACTGGGGTTGCCTTAACTTGTATGAGGGTGGCTAGCTGTTCACGTTTGCTTTACTGCATCTGATGTAAATTTCTTCATCCAGTTTCCGATCTTCAGTGAACGTTGTACTAAAATATTTCAACTCAGATGCCTGTTCAATGCCTTTTAACTTCTTATTTAGTTAATGCTTTTTTTAAATTCACATACAGTGTTTCTTTTAAGTCATTAAAATCCAGTTTTGAATTCACAGACAATGGAAGAAAAAGAGCTGCGAGAACGCCAGGGCGGCATCTGCCCTCAGTGCCACATAGTTGTGCCCTATGTGCCCACGCAGTCCGAAGTGCACAGTATGTTAGCAGAGGCGACTAGAAAGTACTTGAAACTGTTAAAGGTAAGCTGTGTCTTCTTCTGCCTTTCTATTGCCCAATGGAGCATAGGCCCTCCACCAACTCACGCCAAGTCGTTCTATCCTTGCATGGAGCTCTCCCCATGTCCTCCCCGTCTTTCTAACTTCATTCTCCAGCTCTCTTCTCCATATGTTTTTTGGCCTTTCTTTATTCTTATGCCCTTGTGAGTTCCGATGCATTCTAGTTATGCTGTTCTCCTGTTTTCTCAGTGTGTGTCCTATCCAACGCTAGAGTCTTTTCCTCACCTCTTGGTCCACCGGAGCCTGTTTAGTTCTCTGGTAAGCTGTGTACAGGAAATATACTTTTAACAGTTAACGCTCTAGCGATACTACTGGTACACGCTGGTACAGAGTTAACAACCTTAGGGAACGGGTGCTCAGTGCAGCCCCCTACATATTGTCTAGATAGCAGGGGGCCTAATCCTAGCTTAATTGCATAATAATAAAAATAGTGTGCTGAATGGTAAATGCATATCAAACATTTGTAAAGACATTAATTGTGTAAACAAATATACGTTCATTGATAATTTCCTCAATTCAGTCAGGTGCCGTCTCCAGACTAAAGGTTGCCTGTAATAGATCTCCAACATATTTGGTCTCTTGTGCTAGTTGTACACTCACTCTCTCAGACTGCTGTTCGTCCATCTCTTTATTTTGTCCTCCCACTTGTATCGTTGTCTACCTCTTGCTCTCTAGCCCCGGATCTGCCCCCCCCCCTCCCCCAGTAAAAAGCTCATAATTTCTGTCCATGGTTAAAGCCAGCTGCTTAGCTTCCCTGCACCATCATTGGTTGGGCACAGTGACCAACTCATTCATCTACAAAAACATGTTGGCCTGGGGGTGGGTGGTCAAATGGCTTGAGCCCCAAGTTTCTGGCACTTTGCACTAGTCGGCACGAGAGGGCTTCACGTGGCCCCAAGTTTCTGGCACCTTGGACTAGACGGTACGAGAGGGCTTCACGTGGCCCCAAGTTTCTAGCACCTTGCACTAGACGGTACGAGGGGGCTTCAGGTGAAAATCTTCAGAGTGTGATATGTATTACAGTAACCATACCGTTGTCTTGTAACCTGTCAATACTGTTGTTAAGGATGTCATGAGTGTTAAGCTTAAGACATCACAGTGCAGACGAACATGGTGCCGTCAGAGTGGCAGTTTAAAGAAGGTTCAAGACACTTTTCAGGGTTTAATTTGAAGCCCAATTGTACTTCAAACTTTTACAGGTAATATCAGTAAATTATAGGATATTGCTGGCACTTGTCTGTCTGTCTGTCAAGGTTATAGTGTAACTGTGTTAGAGAGAGGCATTGGGGTCACAGTCCATGGTGATACCAGAATAATTCCAGGGATAACGTTCATCCTCTGTATGGCCTAAAGTGTGTGTGTGTGAGAGAGAGAGAGAGGAAGAGAGAGAGAAAGAAAGAAAGAAAGAAAGAAAGAAAGAAAGAAAGAAAGAAAGAAAGAAAGAAAGAAAGAAAGAAAGAAAGAAAGAAAGAAAGAAAGAAAGAAAGAAAGAAAGAAAGAAAGAAAGAAAGAAAGAAAGAAAGAAAGAAAGAAAAGAAAGAAAGAAAGAAAGAAAGAAAGAAAGAAAGAAAGAAAGAAGAAAGAAAAAGAAAGAAAGAAAGAAAGAAAGAAAGAAAGAAAAGAAAGAAAGAAAGAAAGAAAGAAAGAAAGAAAGAAAGAAAGAAAGAAAGAAAGAAAGAAAGAAAGAAAGAAAGAAAGAAAGGAAAAAAGAGGAAGAAGAAGAAGTAGAAAGGAAGAAAGAAAGAAAGAAAGAAAGAAAGAAAGAAAGAAAGAAAGAAAGAAAGAAAGAAAGAAAGAAAGAAAGAAAGAAAGAAAGAAAGAAAGAAAGAAAGAAAGAAAGAAAGAAAGAAAGAAAGAAAGAAAGAAAGAAAGAAAGAAAGAAAGAAAGAAAGAAAAAAAAAGAAGAAAAAAGAATGAAGGAAGAATAAAAAGAGAAGGGGAAGAAGAAGAAGCAGAAGAAGAAGAAGAAACAAACAAACAAACAAACAAACAAACAAACAAATAAATAAAGAAAGAAAGAAAGAAAGAAAGAAAAAAAGAAAGAAAGAAAGAAAGAAAGAAAGAAAGAAAGAAAGAAAGAAAGAAAGAAAGAAAGAAAGAAAGAAAGAAAGAAAGAAAGAAAGAAAGAAAGAAAGAAAGAAAGAAAGAAAGAAAGAAAGAAAGAAAGAAAGAAAGAAAGAAGAAAGAAAGACTGTATGTCTAATGGAATAATAAAAAATATTATAGTGCTTCATAGTTTTATGTCGAAATATAGGCTTTGTTGGAAAAAATGGAGCTCCATGTTATTGAGTTGGAGAGCTGCCAAAGATATGAATCCACAGTTATATGCATATGGGAAAAAAATGCCTGGGCAAAATCATGAACATAAAATGAGATGCATTTTGAAAACGTGAGCTCAGAGAAATCTCTCGACAAATACCTATATCGACAAATAAGGTGGAGATATATTGGGCACAGACTGAAACGAATTGAGCAATTAATTACAAAACAAGAACTGAAATGGGAAACAACCAGATTACGACCGGCACCATGAGTATCGGAACTCTGCGCTGGCTAGCTGAAGATGAGAACGGAACACGCATGAGAATCTGTGCTGTGATGTCTTTCTTGACTCAGCTCAGTATTAAGAAGAACATTTTGACAGGAGGCTAAAAACGCTGGGTTGAACTTCATGTCAGAAATCGAGAGAGTTGCATGCAATAGATGGGAGTGGAGGAATCGAATACGAGCCCTCGTTGGCACCTTTCCGTCTTTCCAGACGATAGTGTTATACTGCGCTGTGAGGAGGCATGAGACTCAAAGCCCATGGCGATGGCGAGTGTGACTAGCAAGACCCGCCCGTGCCAAGAAAAGTCTTACACAATGATAGCATTTGATTTCAGAACTAATGTTAACAACATTTGTGTTTAATCTGTTTCTTTTCAGACACCCAGCTCTCTTCCTTTCTGCAATCATTTCTTCCTTCAGTCTCATTCCCTTCCTAATATGCCCTTTCCACACAACACGGTCCATGGCATTTTGTTCCCTTGAGTCCGCCTCAGTACCTGTATCATTCATGTCCCACTTGTACACATCTTTATAACGTAGTAGATGTCTAACGGCACACAAAGGATGGTGATGAAAAACAAACATTGTGCCTAAAAAGAAAGTTCTAGTATTGCGACCTGTTGCGTGCGGTCAGGACCAAAAGCCCACAACTTTATCATCATCATCATCCCATACGTGTCGTTGGGTCACCAGTTTCTGTTAACTGTATGATCAGCTCTCTCCACCTTTGGCGGTCAGTTACGATAGACTTCATGGTTGCATGCCTAAGGCCTGTCCAGTCAGTCAGGTTCTGTAACCAGGTCTTTATTGGTCTGCCTCTTCTTTTCTTTCCCTCTACTGAGCCCTGTAGTATTGTTTTTGAGAGACCTTTAGATCTTATTACATGTCTATACCACTGCATTTTTCGCCTTTTCACTGTAGTTTAAAGAGGTTCATAGTTACCAATGTGCTGTATAGTTTTATGCGAACCTCTTTGTTTATAATGTGATACCTATATGATATGCCAAGAATTTTCTGAAACATCGCATTTCTAATGGTTGTATCTTTCTTTCAAGTTCAGCTGTTAAGGTCCACGTTTCACCAAATGTAAATGTATTAATAGCTAGTGCTCTGAGTCATCGGATCTTAGTTTTGCATGAAATGTTTTCAGATCTCCATAATGTTTGCTGCCTGGCAAGGATTGATGTTGTTTGGACAATCCTAGACATCTTGTGATCATTACAAAAAGTAATTAAAATTGTTGCCAAGTACTCTGGCATGTCTCCCATCCCACTATGATACTGATGGAGTGTCCTGGGTGACAGTATTTTCAAAGATATCTAAACAGCTCACTTTTGATTAATTTTTGCAGCAAAACTTTTGGATGCAGTTTGAGCGGGGTCTTCTGACAGGGTACAGTGTCCGGAAATTGATAGAGATGGCAGAGGAGGCGACTGATCGGGATTGTGAGTAAGTTGTGTGTCAAAGCTGGCGCAGCAGGCGTCCTGTCAGATTGTAAGTTGTGTGTCAGAGGTATCAGAGTATGTGGCTGGTGGGGATTGTGAGTTGTGTGCCAGAGGTGGCGTCCGGTCAGATTGTAAGTTGTGTATCAGAGGGCGTATAGCAGGCGTCCTGTCAGATTGTAAGTTGTATATGATTAACATCTCATTATTGGGTACACATTACAGAAATCCCTTGAACAGTATGTTTAAGCACCAATAATAATATAGTATATAATATGGTAATATAGTAACCAGATGTCTAATGAGGGTTGGGTGTTACAGACAGTGACGCACACACAAGGAGACATTGATAAATGTGTGCGTTATGTATTGACATCTGTGACTATTGTAACAATCTGTTATAATAAACAAATTGTCTTGTGTGAAAACGATTATTCTGTGTGAGGACGACTGTCCTGTGTGATGACGATTATCCTGTGTGATGACGATTATCCTGTGTGATGACGATTATCCTGTGTGATGACTATTATCCTGTATGATGACGATTATACTGTGTGATGACTATTATCCTGTATGATGACGATTATCCTGTATGATGACAATTATCCTGTATGATGACGATTATCCTTTATGATGACGATTATCCTTTATGATGATGATTATCCTGTGGTGACGATTATCCAGTATAATGACGATTATCCTTTATGATGACGATGATCCTGTATGATGACTATTATCCTGTATGATGACTATTATCCTGTATGATGACGATTATCCTTTATGATGACTATTATCCTGTATGAGGACGATTATCCTGTGTGAGGACGATTATCCTGTATGATGACGATTATCCTGTATGATGACGATTATCCTTTATGATGACGATTATCCTGTATGATGACGATTATCCTTTATGATGACTTTTATCCTGTATGATGACGATTATCCTGTGTGATGACGATTATCCTGTATGAAGACTATTATCCTGTATGATGACGATTATCCTGTATGATGACTATTATCCTGTATGATGACAATTATCCTGTATGAGGACTTTTATCCTGTATGATGACGATTATCCTGTATGATGACGATTATCCTGTGTGAAGACTATTATCCTGTATGATGACGATTATCCTGTATGATGACCATTATCCTTTATGATGACGATTATCCTTTATGATGATGATTATCCTGTGTGGTGACGATTATCCTGTATGATGACGATTATCCTTTATGATGACGATTATCCTTTATGATGACGATTATCCTGTATGATGACTATTATCCGTTATGATGACTATTATCCTATATGATGACGATTATCCTGTGTGATGACGATTATCCTGTGTGCTGACGATTATCCTTTATGATGACGATTATCCTTTATATTGATGATTATCCTGTATGATAACGATTATCCTTTATGACGACTATTATCCTGTATGATGACGATTATCCTGTATGATGACGATTATCCTGTATGATGACGATTATCCTTATGATGACTAGTATCCATTATGATGACGATAATCCTTTATGATGACAATTATCCTGTATGATGACGATTATCCTGTATGATGACGATCATCCTTTATAATGACTAGTATCCTGCATTATGACGATTATCCTGTGTGATGACGATTATCCTGTATGATGACTATTATTCTCTATGATGAAGATTATCCTGTATGATGACGATTATCCTGTATGATGACTATTATCCTTTATGATGACGATTACCCTGTACGATTACTATTGTCCTGTGTGGTGACGATTATCCTGTGTGGTGACGATTATCCTGTATGATGACTATTATCCTGTATGATGACGATTATCTTTTATGATGACGATTATCCTGTATGATGACTATTATCCTGTATGATGACGATTATCCTATTTGATGACGATTATCCTGTATGATGACTATTATCCTGTATGATGACGATTGTCCTGTATGATGACTATTATCCTGTATGATGACTATTATCCTTTATGATGACGATTATCCTTTATGATGACGATTATTCTGTGTGGTGACGATTATCCTGTGTGGTGACGATTATCCTGTTTGGTGACGTTTATCCTGTTTGATTATGATTATCCTGTGTGGTGACGATTATCCTGTATGATGACGATTATCCTGTATGATGATGATTGTCCTGTATGATGACGATTGTCCTGTATGATGTCTATTATCCTGTATGATGACTATTATCCTGTATGATGACGATTATCCTGTATGATGACGATTATCCTGTATGATGTCTATTATCCTGTATGATGACGATTATCCTGTATGATGACGATTATCCTTTATGATTATCCTGTGTGGTGACGATTATCCTGTATGATGACGATTATCCTGTATGATGACGATTGTCCTGTATGATGACGATTGTCCTGTATGATGTCTATTATCCTGTATGATGACTATTATCCTGTATGATGACGATTATCCTGTATGATGACGATTATCCTGTATGATGTCTATTATCCTGTATGATGACGATTATCCTGTATGATGACGATTATCCTTTATGTTTATCCTGTGTGTTGACGATTATCCTATATGATGACTATTATCCTTTATGATGGCTATTATCCTGTATGATGACGATTGTCCTGTATGATGAAGATGATCCTGTTTGGTGACGATTATCCTGTATGGTGATGATCATCCTGTATGATAACGATTATCCTGTATGATGACTATTATCCTTTATGATGACGATTATCCTGTATGATGACTATTATCCGTTATGATGACTATTATCCGTTATGATGACGATTGTCCTGTATGATGACTATTGTCTTGCCTGCAGAGTTATTGTATAAATTCTAACTCATGACATCTCAACACAGAATGATTAGAGTAAACGAAATAAAAGGAATGTGGAAGGTTCCTCCAAACCTAGCTTACATTGTAAGTAGATTATGATTGTCTTGTATGAAGTTTTCAAGTCGAATATTATCATCTTGTAAGTAGATTGCGAATAGATTATCATCTTGTAAGTAGATTGTAAGTCTGAAATGATCATCTTGTAAGTAGATTGTAAATCTGAAATGATCATCTTGTAAGTAGATTGCAAATAGGTTATTATCATCTTGTAAGTAGATTTCAAAAAGATTATTATCATCTTGAAAGTAAATTATAAATAGATTTTTATCATATTGTAAGTGGATTATAAATAGATTATTATCATCTTGTTAGTAAATTATAAATAGACTATTATCATATTGTGAGTGGATTATAAATGTATTATTATCATCTTGTTAGTAAATAAAAAAATAGATTATTATCATATTGTAAGTGGATTATAAATGGATTATTATCATCTTGTAAGTAAATTATAAATAGATTGTTATCATCTTGTGTCAGATTGTAACAAGATTATGCTCATCATGTAGGTAAAAAGAATGTAAGTAGATATGATCATCTTGTAGGTAGATTATGATCAACTTGCTTTTGAATAAAGAAACCACAAACAGCAGATTATACAATGTATTTTCTTCTTCTTTTTTACGACCTCTTTTACCGCTTCGTGTGTCGAGGGAGACATAAGGTCCTGTTTCTTGCTCTTCTGGCTGCCTCAACCCTAGACACATCGTGGTGCTGTAGAGTTTCTCTGATGTTATCTTTCCCAACTTCTTTTTGGTCTACCTCTTGCTTTACGTCCCTCTTTTCCTTTGGTGTATGCATTGCATGGTATAGCATCACAAAGCATTCTCTCGAAGTGGGCATACCATTTGATGTGCTGTCTTTTTATGTAATTTAAAATTGGTTCTGTTCCGATTTTATCTCGTATAACCTCATTCCTAATTTTATCTTGTATAACCTCATTCATAATTTTATCTCGCATGACCTCATTCATAATTTTATATCTTCTGATCACTCGTACAGCCTTTCTCAAAAACCTCATTTCCATGGTTACTAATTTTATTTTATGTTTTGCTGTGAGTTACCACGTCTGGCACTGGTAGCATAGGGAGGGGGTGAACATGCTTTGTGTAATACAACACAGTGTACTGTTTCGGCATATTTGCCTGTCGCGAATCCCCTTTAGATTGCCAGGCCCTATTTAGAAATAAGGGGGGGGGGGGTGGAGAATATATTTACGCTAATGAGCATGTCCTGAAAAGAGAGGAATTAGGGCTTTGCTGAAAGCGGATGAGTTGGGTTGAAAGAGGCAGATATCGTAGCCTAGCTGGGACTTCCGTTTTCAAAATGGCGGACAGCAGCTGTGTTTATTGTCGCTGGCTGTCAATTCTCTCGTATTATTCTGTTCTATAATCATGGACTGCTATTTTATGCGCATTTCCAACGCAGAATATTATGTGTTTTTCGTGGGAACAGCGTGTATTGTGGTTGTGCTGTGTCGGGGCGGGATAATGACCGATAGTTTTGGCAGCCTCGACCACGCTGCCTTCGCAATGTTTTGATCGCGGCGGTCCACTCGGGAAGACAGAATCTCGTCAGCAGGGGACTGCAACTGTCTAGAGAGCAAACTCGATAAAAGCTGTCCCCAGAAACGGAATGTGTCAACCATATATTTGGTGGGGAGGAATCGACACATACGGTTAACTCAATGGCCATGCGCAAATATTTATCCAATAGTGGTACCACCACGTTGGGTAACAATCAAGTGAAAGCGGGACTCGCTCTCACATCTCAAACAGGTTTACCCTTAGCCACCAACAGCCCCGCGGCTTCCTGCATTGCTAGGGGAGGACAGGGTGTCACTTCTAACTGCGAGGACACACTTCCACCACTTGTAATCATGCAGTGGAACGCAGAAGGCGTATTTAACAAAAAGAGAGAACTAGAGGAACGCCTGCGAGCAGAAAAAAAATCGACGTTATCTGCATTCAAGAGACGCACCTCAACCCAAGTAAAAGATTTCATATTAGAGGATATGAAATATTTCGCCAAGACAGAGAAAATAGACATAAAGGTGGGGTTGCCACGCTGGTTCGTAATTCAATACCAGCGGTTGAACTACATAGATCCAACCAGCTGAATACTGAATTCATTGCTGTCCAGCTGCAACTAAAAAATAAAAATATGTCAGTCTACAACATTTACTCACCACCTACCCTCCCCACCGAACTTGAAGCTATACAGGTTCAAGAGAGCAACTTGCTAATTATCGGAGATTTGAACAGTCACTCACCAAGCTGGGGTTATGACTGTTTAGATGCTCGTGGAGAAAATCTTGAGGAGTGGCTAATCACAAACTGTCTCACCCTTCTCAATCACCCTGATGACCCGCATACGCACTACTCTAGACGGTGGCGCACAACAAGCACACCTGATCTAGCATTTGCAACAGACGACATCCATAAGATATCTGTTAGGCAGGTGTGCGACCAGTTAGGAGGCAGTGACCACAGGCCAGTGAAGATTCTGATAAACAGCCTTAAAATAGAAAAATCTCCAGATACTGCACCAAGCTGGAACTACAAAAAGGCAGATTGGAAACTTTTTCAAGAACTTGCAGACTCAAACTGCAAAGCAATCAGCCTTTCAGGTAAGGTTGACAGAGATGCACAAGAATTCAACAAGGCCATACTGAATGCAGCAAAAAAAAAAAAACCATTCCTAGAGGAAAGAGGCACAATTACAAGCCATATTGGTCACCAGAACTGGAAGTGCTTCACGGTTCGCTCTGTGATGCTAGAGATAGCATGGAAGCTGATCCAACAGACGAACATGTGAAGCAACACAACAAAGCAAGGGCTCTCTATGTCAGAGAAAGAAACCTACAGTGTAGAAAGTCCTGGAAAGAAAAGACTGCTTCTCTGAACATGGAAAAAGACACCACAAAATTGTGGAGACTGACAAAGACACTTAATGATGACAACCCATCTCATGGAAAAACAGTTCTCCAACAAGAAGGAAATCTACTCACAGGGAAGGAAGCAGCGACTCTGATGGCCCGAAACTATGAGAAAGAAAGCTCATATTCAGTAACCCTGGAGCAAAAGAAAGCAGTCCGAGATGGGATAAACTCCATATTCAAAAAAGCCTCTTGTGAGCCATGCATGGAGACAGACATCACTCTAACTGAGCTACTAAGAGCAATGAGAAAACTCAAGTCAAAGAAGGCACCTGGCCCAGACGAAGTTTCAAACGACATGCTCAAACATATGGGTCCAGTAGCACAAAACATCTTACTCCAGATATACAACTATAACTGGAAACTAGGCAGAGTCCCAGATATCTGGAAAAATGCTATAATCCACCCTATCCTCAAAAGTGGCAAGGACAAGAAGGACCCTCAGAGCTACAGGCCTGTCAGTCTGCTAAGCTGCCCCCGCAAAACTGATGGAGAGAGTGCTAGCCACCAGACTTCAGTGGTTCCTAGAAACCAATCACAAACTGGATCCCGCTCAGACAGGCTACCGACAGCACAGAAGCACTGATGACCAGGTAGCATACCTTACACAGGACATAGAAAATGGCTTCCAGGAAAAGAAGAAACCCTCACAGTCTTTTTCGATATGTCCAAGGCCTTTGACAAAGTATGGAAGGATGGCTTGATGCTAAAGCTCTTACATAGTGGAATAAGAGGCAGAATGTACTACTGGATACAAGACTTCCTATCCCACAGGCGGGCATCTGTGAAACTAGATGAAGCACATAGTCCCAGATTCAAGCTGAGAGCAGGAGTACCACAGGGTAGTGTGCTGTCTCCAGTCCTGTTCCTGATTTACATCAACGACCTACCTCAAACTTTACCCAGACATGTATCACATTCTCTTCATGCAGATGACCTAGCTGTGTGGTACACCTCTGAGTTCATTGGACCTGCTATATCAAAACTCCAGGAAAGTGTGAATAGTGTCATAAACTGGGCCAACAAATGGGGCCTCGAAGTAAACAGGAACAAAACTGTAGCAACACTCTTCTCATTGTCTACAAAGGAGGAAAAGTTTACATTAAAATTCAACAATGATGCTGTTCCACGCTCCAATACTCCAACCTTCCTGGGAGTCAAGCTTGACAGTCGTCTGACATGGAAACATCACATGCTAGAAACTAACAAAAAAGCCATGAGAAAACAAGGTGTGATGAAGAAATTGGCAGGCACCACTTGGGGAGCAGACAGTTGTATCTTGAAGCAGGTATACACCGGCACAGTCAGACCAACTCTCGAATACGCATCATCGTCATGGATAACAGCAGCCCATTCCAATAAACAGATACTAGACAAAACGCAAAATAGAAGTCTGCGCACAATTCTGGGAGCCATAAAATCTACACCTATTGTAGAAATGGAAAAGGCAGCCAACATCATCCCCTTAGAAGAAAGAAGAAGGACAAAAGCAATTCTACATGCTGAAAAAATGAAGAGAATGTTAAACCACCCATTACACGAAAAATTGGCATCCAGGACAAAAAACAGAATAAAGCGCACAAGCCTAAACCATCTAACGAAGGAATTTGGAAAGTCATTCTCTTCACTACTTAACCAACAATGTACACCTTAAGAGCTATCTTTCGATCTTTGGGACTCCGAATTATTGACACTCAATGTGTCAACATCCATCCCGAACCTGGGGAACAAAGATGCTGAGCCCGCTTTTGTGAAGAAAGCACTCACAATGGAACACCTCAACAACATGTTCCCACAGGACAGCTGGACAAGAATCTACACGGATCGATCAGCAAAAGAGGCAACTACGAATGGTGGGGCAGGTGTCTACATAAAACACCCAGATGCCACTACTGTGTCCCTAGCAGCCCCCACCGGACGAACTTGCTCTAACTACAAGGCAGAACTCTCAGCTCTATTGATGACAGCACAGTATATGAACAATCTGCAAATCACCGCAGGCAGGATAGTTTTTCTCACTGACTCACTGTCAGCTGTACAGGCCCTTGAGTCCAAACCTACCGACAGCACACTACAAAGTATAACACAGGAACTTGCTATGTTGTCAAATAAGGCAGAAATTCACTTGCAGTGGATTCCGTCTCACTGCGGCATCAAAGGCAATGAAAGCGCAGATGCTTTAGCCAAGGAAGGCAGTAACAAACTACAGACCTACCAGCCACTATCTTTTCCTGAAGTCAAAACTCTCATTAAGAGAAAATCAGAAACAGACTGGAAAAACAACACTGGTTATGACTACGGAAAAGATTTTCTGAGGCACTTGAACAGAACAGACCAAGTCACAGTTTTTCGCTTACGCACTGGACACTGCAGACTCAATAAACACTCATATAAATTAGGTATGAGCCAAACAGCTCTCTGCCAGTGTCTTCGGCCTGAACAGACTCCAGAACATGTCCTGCAAGACTGTCCTCTCCTGGCGGAGCTGCGGAGCGACATATGGCAACACCCAGTAGAACTGACAACTAAGCTTTGGGGAAACCTAAGAGACCTTGAAAAGACATCCCAGTTTATGACCCACAGTGGATTATGCGCATGACCAGAGATCGCTGAAGAAGAAGAAGTAGCCTAGCTGTAAACCACAACGTTGAAACGGCCCTCTAAAAGTTGAAGAAATAAGTAACGGAACTAGGAGCCGTTCGATGACAATGGCCAGATACTTGCCTGCTGGTCTTCGGTTTTTAAAAAAACAAATAAAAAAATCTGTCCATTTATCTGTATAACTCGTCATTGACATGCATAACTTGCCTTTGATCTGAACAACTTATCGTTCACCTATATAACATGCCACTGACCGGTATAACCGGCATTTGACCTGAATAACTTGTCATTGACCTATATTACTCGTTATTGACGGGTACAGCTTGCCATAGACCTGTATAACTCGCCTTTAACCTGAATAACTTGTCACGACTTTCCACAAGCGTTATAGCCAGTGAACGCAAAAAAAAAAGAAGAAAGAAAGAAAGAAAGAAAGAAAGAAAGAAAGAAAGAAAGAAAGAAAGAAAGAAAGAAAGAAAGAAAGAAAGAAAGAAAGAAAGAAAGAAAGAAAGAAAGAAAGAAAGAAAGAAAGAAAGAAAGAAAGAAAGAAAGAAAGAAAGAAAGAAGAAGAACAAGAACAAGAAGAAGAAAAAGAAGAAAAAGAAAAGAAGAAGAAGAAAAAAAAAAGAAGAAGAAGAGAAGAAAGAAGGAAAGAAAGAAAGAAAGAAAGAAAGAAAGAAAGAATGAAAGAATGAAAGAAAGAAAGAAAGAAAGAAGAAGAAGAAGAAGAAGAAGAAGAAGAAGAAGAAGAAGAAGAAGAAGAAGAAGAAGAGAAGAAGAGAAGAAAGAAGGAAAGAAAGAAAGAAAGAAAGAAAGAAAGAAAGAAAGAAAGAAAGAAAGAAAGAAAGAAAGAAGAAGAAGAAGAAGAAGAAGAAGAAGAAGAAGAAGAAGAAAAAGAATAAGAAGAAAAAGAATAGGAAGAAGAAAAAGAAGGAGGAGAAGAAGAAGAAGAAGAAGAAGAAGAAGAAGAAGAAGAAGACGACGAAGATTACTGAAATGATAGCATCTATTGCTCACCAAGTCTGTTGTTGCTCACAATCACCAGAAACGTATCATCACTTCCAACTGCGTCATGTTCCCACTCAGTGAGGAGAAAAATGGTTCGGTCTTTTATCTGTAAGTAGTGAGGAGATTTCAGTTTAACAACTTTTCCCTCCATCCTTTGTGTGTATGGGCGTGTGTGTGTGTGTGTGTGTGTGTGTGTGGGTGATTGGTGTGTGTGTGTGGGTGATTGGTATGTGTGTGTGGGTGATTTGTGTGTGTGTGTGTGTGTGTGTGTGAACGCGCGATTTTTTTTTTTTTGTCTTCACCTTTTCCCCAAAAATATTCTGGGTGACGGCTTCTCGCGACAAGCCTGAAAGAAAGCCCTCATTCACACGGCTGGTTTTTCTGGGCGGTGAGCTACTTTATGACAAAGTGGACGTGGTGAAGGCTCTCTGTTAATAATTGGTGAGTTGCAGGACGTTGCAGAACCAACCACGACAGCCCCTGGCTGTTGTGTGGGTTTTTCAGGCAAATTAGGTCTAGTAGTTTGCCATTGCCACTGGACGGTCGGCCTTCTTGATACCACTGTCGAAACCAACGCAAGGCGCATGGCCCGCAGCTGGGATCGAACCCGGCACCCCAGCATTACGAAGCGTTCGCATCGACTTAACCACAGAGTTGACGCAGGTGGTGAAGGCTCTCTGTTAGTAAAGTAACATACATTTTTTTTTAAACCGGCAATCATAGAAAGAAGAAGAAAGATAGAAGAACACACTAGACAACATAAAAATCGAAAGCTATAGTTACCGTTCCGGGAATCGAATCCAGACGGCGTGGGCGCCTCGCTATGGAAATCAGTGCACTAAGAACATGGTCACCCAAACACCCCTTGAAGGCTCGTTAAGAGTATTTTGGCGAAAACAAATAAGGAAGAAGGGTAGGAGAGATAGAAGGTTCTGGAGCATATTAAAAACATAGAGGAAAACATAGGCTGACTTTTGATCCGATTGCAATTTGTACTATTACTATTTCGACTCTCCGTTGTCTACTGCAAACGGAGACGGAGCACGTGTGAGAATGTCCCGAGTGCAGGTTTCCCGATATTAGTTCTTGATTCATTCATTTGGAGAAAAAAGTGTTTAAAAAGAGGTCTCGGTAATCACCATTACGTGCCCATGACAGGAGAACTGGGATAATAAGATAGTTCCCCCCCCCCCTTTTTCCATACCCCCCCCCCTTTTTTTTTTCAGCTTCCCCAAATGGTGCATGTACTGCGTTGCGCTGAGTGAGTACCAGAAGAAAAAACAACAACCTGCTTACCCAGCTATTCCTAGGTTTCAGAACTATGTGGTAGCTCAGTGAAGCGCAACTGTATAAGACTGCTGTAATTCTCTCGTTTCAGAAGTATG